ACAACCACAGTCCCCATCCCTGAGCCCACACCTTTCTTAGGTGGTCGTTGTAAGGAATGGACACAGTTTGTGATACCTCATCACTTCTGTATGCACCACCTGTTTCAAATGTAAGCACTTGCTCTGTTTGGAGCCTTGGGGCTTGGGGTTCCTTGGCTGTATTCATTTTCTATGACTGTGTAACAACTTGCCACAAACTTTGTAGGTTAAAACAACACCCATTTATTATCTCACAGTTCTGTAGGTCAGAAACTGAAGTGGGCTCAACTGGGTTCTCTGCTTAGGGTTTCACAAGATGGAAATCAGCGTATCAACTGGGTTGGACTCTTCTCTGAAGGCTCTGGGGAAAATCTGCTTTCAAGTTCATTCAGGTTGTTGGCAGAATCCAGTTTCTTGCAGTTGTAGGACTGAGGTCCCTGTTTTCTTGCTGACTGTCAGCAGGGATTGCTTTTAGTTCCTAGAGACTGCTCTCAGGACCTTTTCACACGGCCCCCTCCATCTTCAAGCTGGCAACAGCAGTTGAATCTTTATGCTTTGAATCTCTCTGACTTCCTCTTCTGGAGAAAATGCTCTGCCTTTAAAGAGCTCATGTGATGGGATTAGGCCTACCTCGTTAAGGTCTTCATTTTAAGGTCAACTGATTAGTAATTACATTTGCTAATCACTTTTGCAATGTAACAATGTAATCACAGGAGTTAACACCAGAGGGTGAAGGTGNCCAACTTCACAAATGGGTTAGGAATGTTAACTTAGACTTGCCTTTATGGAGCGTGGCCCTCTTTCCTACACAGACATGTCCTTTTTTTCTTGTAATTTCTTAGTGATTTGGATGCTGTTTTTATCTGATATCTCTATAGTTTATTGCTCATCCCTCAGTCGTTTATGGAAACAACATTAATCAACAAATATGAATGTATACTCCATTCATATCACTTATCCAAATCCAACATCACACCTGGCAAGATGTTAGGCCATAATAGATGTTTCTTAGATGTCTGTTGAATGAGTGAGTGAGGGATAATTGACAGGCTTTGCTCTTAAGTTGCATACTGCCTATTTTAGAAATAAGCCATATATACACACACAAAGATAAGTAACAATATAAGAATATATGTGACTAGTTTTGAAAAAGTGGTCCAGGAGGTAGGTCATAGTGTGTGTGTGCACGTGTGCACACACAAGCTAAGCTTCATGGAAGATGTAGAGCTGGAACTGGACCTTGAGAAATATGTATTATTTGGATGAGTGGGAGGATGATCTACAGTTTAAGTAGTGAGGTCCATGTGAGCAAAGGTGCAGTTTGGGAGCAGCCATTTAGGGTGGGAATTAAGATCTGAGTGGTAGGTTATGGCCTCACAGAGGCTTAGAATGTCAAATATGGAAATATCAAGCAGAATGTCCAACAGAAATGTTTGGCTCAATTACCTCACAAAGCCAAAGGTTTATCGAAGTGAAAGGACTTTGAACTTGCTGTAATAAAGGTAATATTAATGCATGATTATTTTAATCCACTAGGAAAGTTTTAATAAAACTTGATTAATTTTNAATATTAATGCATGATTATTTTAATCCACTAGGAAAGTTTTAATAAAACTTGATTAATTTTAAAAAATTCCTCTCATAAATACCACCTTAGGACTCTAGGAGAAAGTTAACAAACGGACATTGCAAGTCAAAATAAGTTTTTTTTTTTATTCCATATTCAGCTAACAAACAGCAATATGAAATAATGTAGATTCTTAATCTGTAGCCATTGTACTTGCTGGAGTTCTTTCTCATCCCACTTTGGAGGTAAATATTCCTGTAGCTTCCTTTTGTTTCCCCAAAGTCAAGACCTATGCAGAGAGATCTATAATCTGGGAAAGTAATTGGTAAGCAAATCACAGAATAGAAAGTCTTATGATGATATATAATGACATATAATCTGGGAAAGTAATTGGTAAGCAATCACAGAATTGAATGTCTTATGATGGCATTAAGTATACCTGCGGTATGGTAGGCAAAATATACACACCACGATGACAATGGAAAAAAGGAGCAATGTGCACAGGGACTGCCGAAGAGGTGCTTTGTCAAAAATCAATATCTGAGAGGCACATGACCTAGGTATTTGACTTAAGTTGTGTTTCTGGAAGGCAGCCACTTAGCTTGCATTGTCTGGTGAGACCCAGGCTGGTTCTAGGCAGCCCTAGGGCTCCAGGAGCTGCTTTGAAGGCTCACTCAGAATCCACAGCATGGTCAAAGGCATGTTCAGAGTGCCTCTTTTTCCTGTACACTGAACACAGGTACACAAGAAACGCCAGACACAGCAAGGTCGCCGCTGCGAAGAAGGCAAGGGTGCCCACAAAGATGGGCGGCTGTATGGGCAGGCGGATCAGCGGGCTTTCAGCTGGGATCTGGTTGGTCAGGCTGAGCATGTAGCCGAGAGACCAGCCTATGCTGCTGTTCCCCACCTGTGGAGCAGAGGAGACGGCTCAGGGCAGGGCTCGAGGCTAGAATTACATACCCACAGCATACCACTGACAACCTCACAAACCTCCCACAGGAAGCTGTGGCCTAAGGAGGTCAGAGGCCTTGCCCAAGTTCAGACACCGCACTGTGGCCACAAAGGCTCAG